AGTGTGAATGGTAATTTGGTCAGGATATCTAGTGGTACACCAGAATTGGAAACATGTTATGAGAATGCCTCTTCTGAAGAAGTGGAGAAAAAGATTTGACACGATTAATATGAGGAAGAGCATGAAGACAACTCCCCCCACCCCTCTTCATTCTTTCAATCTTATTATGAAGATATTGTTTTCAGTCTCAGCAGTGGTGATGGGATCAAGCTTAACTGAGGTGGGGATTAACAGCAGCCCTCTACCAGATGCTGGGTGAATCAACATGTGTGCTTTACTGTGGAGTGCACTAACAAAATAAGCTCTGCAGTAGAGCATCACTGTTTACATGTGCGTTAGTATTAGGGTGCAGTAAATTAATTAACTGTGTCATAAGTACTATCATACGAGGGAGACATTTACTGCCCCAAAATGCATGTGTAGACAGTGACCGGGGTTGGCGTGGGCACAAGAAACCTAAAGTACAGAGGTTACCTGCCACATGGCTTTGCACTTTAACGCTCTCGTGCCCCAGGCAGCCCCTCCAACAGCAGACACCACAACTCAGAGGTGTGGGCTGACCCCCAAGCCTGCTGCCAGCCCAGGCTGCTCCGCCCTGGCTCAAACTGCTGCAGTCCCAAGCACACATGCAGATGCTAACCCAGGAGCAGCTTACTCCAGTACAAACTGTGCTGGAGTTTATCACATCACTTTAATAGCAGGTGTAGATGCACCCAGTATGTAAGATAAAGGAGGCACTTTACTTATACTTTGTGGGATATCCTGGTACTTCAGAAGACAAAAACAAACCCCATGATACCTCTGACCGTCTGGGTACCCAAACAGAAAATGTCTTCTTGATATTCTTTTACAGTTTCTATGCTGGCTACCCAGTTATAGCTATTAACACAGTGCTTTGTTCTGAAATGGTATTGTGGTAATTAAGCCAAATAGGATGTTTAAGTTTCAGCACTGGATTTGCTTATGTTATTTGCTACCTTCAGCATGCATGTGCTTTGAAAAAAGATGGATGGACTTAAATTTATGTAGAGCACAGATTTTCAGATAAATTTGGCCGAAACAGTTTAAACTATCTTTCCTAATGGGGTCTACTTACAGATAATAAGCCAATTTGTCATACCCTTGATAACCTAACCTTTGTTAAGTGCGTAGAAACTATCAATAGGGAAGTCAGAGACTCTGTTGTAACCAGGATACCTTCTTGCCAACTCCTGCTTTTATCAGTTACTAGATTGCTAAACAAAAAAGAATAAGGAATAATTTGTTTAAACCCATTATTAGAGTTAAAGACCACTTAGTATCAAAACTAAAATAAAAAATGACTAACAGTTTTGAAATACAAAATATTTTATATTCTGCCTTAATATATTATCACAAACATTGCCAAAAGAGTACTACAGTTTAACATAAAAGTCACAGCATTTAATCAACATTTTTCATGTCCATGTTATGTATGCCATCTTAAGGTCAAATAAATGATAAATATTTTAGCTGCTGGTAATAAAGAACCTGTTTTTCACATTCAAAATAAATGTTTCATGGATTTTTACTTTTCTGTGGAGTTATTTCTCGTACAATAGCAAATGAATTCTTATTTTTTTAACGTGAAGGTGGCAATGCACAGAACGGTTTGTATTCAGTATTGACAATGGAAATAGACTACATTCATTTTCAATAAATCTTCATTGAAAACTCTCAAATTCACCACATTCACATACAGATTGAAACTAGTAGGCAGTAGTCCCTTTTTATTAAATGAAAAGCATTCATCTTCCAGGCTTACAAGCATGAGATAGTGTAAAATTATGTATAGCAGAATGTAACAACTCCTCCTCTTGGCTCTTCCTGATGGCAGGGAATGACTGAATTGCATACAGTCACAAAATGTGTTGGTTTGTTGTCTGCTGGTTTCGGCTGTGATTTATGTAAAATGTTATAGTTTTTAGTAATTGTGTCTCTTATAGATATGGTTATTATGGAAGTTATAGCCGTGAATGAAATATTGAAGTACTTTTCTTTAATTGATAATTTTTAGGCACTTGTTCATAGCTAGATAATAGTTAAATAATTCAACAGCAATCAAAAAATGAAGCTTTTCTTTGACCCAGGAGCAAAACTTACCAGTGTGTTTGTGTGTGAAAGCATTTCAGAGGTCTATTTGTGACTGGGTTTTTATTTCCATTCAGTACAAACTTAACTTGACAATGCTTATGAATCTACAGTAACTCTTTTAATTTCATCATGCTCTTTACCAAATAGTGAATATACACAAACAACTTAAGTCATATGTAGTTACATTTTTATTTAGATACACATTTGGAACATTCAGAATTATTGTTGCTCTTTCGTAAACCATGGAACAGCCATATTAATATTAAGCCAAACAAAAGTGAAAATTACTGTGTAAAGTGGTATTACTTTACAGGTAAATTATTTCAGAAGTCCCACTTTGTGAAGTGCCAGATTGGCATCAGAATTCATACCTCACTGAAAATCACTTTGATTAATGCCCCTGGGAGATATTAATTTAATCGCACAATGGGATCTGGCAAATTTTATGGCAGGATGCCTGATTTTTGGAATCTGAGATAAAATTCATCACGTTCCATCAGGCAACTGCCAGTCTAGTTTCCTTGGGATCAGGGATCTGGATCCTGGGCTTCCCTACCTCCAAGGCTTAAAAAGGAGACTGCAAGAAGTACATCATTGGAGACTAATCTCCAGTGCCGTGCTTCCCACAGTGCCCTTTCATCTTGCTGGTGTACAGGGAATCTGAGATTAGGATTTAGTTCCTTGATTTTGGGTACCCTGAGCGCCAACACTTTCAAAGGATATGCATGCTGCTGGGCTGCGCACATACCTTTTAAGGATTTGGGGGGATCCCAAGATTGGAGAGAGATTCCACAATCTCAGGCTCCCTGCATGCCAGCATGTTCAAAATGCATGCTTGCAGCCCAGGATCAGGGATTGACTCCCCAGTCTCAGGCTCCTACGCCAGCATGTTTAAAGGGGGCAATCCAGCGCTGAAGAGCAGCTTCCCTTATGCCATTTAAACTATATGCAACGCATTTAATTAAAGCAAGATGCAAACCAGCCACAAAAGTGTTCCACATGACATCTTTTTGGCTGGTCTTCCATTTTATCATGTTGCCTACATATGTGGCATGTTGAAATTTATTGCAAAATTAATCTGTTAATCAGACAATAAATGTAACATTTTCAATGTGCCTTAAACTCCTTAAGCCAATGATTTTTAGCCAAGGTGTTGCAACTTCCCTTGAAGGGTGCCGCAGGAAGTGTAAGCAGATAGGAAATAAGCAGATAAGGCCAGGCTCTCCCTGCCTAGCTGCTCCCTCACCCCCACTGCCTGCCCCCTCTGCAAGGAGGTAAGTCCTGTAATAAATCTTTTTTTTTTTTTTAAAACAGAGTGCCACTTAATTCACAAAAGTTATGGAGGGCTGTCTCAAGTCTAAAAAGGTTGAGAACCACAGCTTTAAGCAGTAATTCAGCAACAACTAAGGCACAATCTTAACTTTAATACACTGAGTCTTTCTTCTGCCTTTAGGACTCTTGACAGTATCAATATTAAGCACAAGAATAAGCCTTTGCTGGTTTATTTAAGTCAGTTTTGAAAATGAGAATTAGGCTCACAACTCAGCTCTGAGTCAAGAACTTAAGTTCCTTATGCAATTCATAAGATAATAGGTACTTCTTAGTGCAAATCACAACAGGCAGCGGGAGAATCTCTAAAAAAAAACAAACAAACAAAAAAGCTAAAAGAAAATGCTGAGAAAGGGGTACAATTCAGATGCCACCACTCTGTGGGCTGATGGGGGGGGTTCTGTTATGGCATCAGGATTAACAGCTCAGAATCTTCTCCTGGACCTAAGCATCTTAAGTTGCCCTTTCTGGAGATGGACTACTGACTCCTTTCTTTTAAAAAGGGGAAGGAAGGAAGAAAGAAAGGAGTAGGAAAAAGAAATAAGGAAAAGAGGATGAAGTTGAATCCGGGTCTCCTGCTTCTTGGGCATAATCTCTAACCATTAAGTTACTATCTAAACGTGAGCTCCTCTTCTGGCTGCATTTTTTAAATGGAAGTGGCTATGGCTACTCTGTGTTCAGCTGAACTTAAAGTTCCTAGGTGCTTTCAGGGCACAGTTTGAAATAAGTGGCAGAAAGCCTATTTTCTGAATCCCAGTTAGGCTTATCTAGAGAATAGGTGCCATGTAAATCAACCTTGCCAAGATAGCAGCCATTCTAAGCATGTAGAGAAACAGAATTCTAGGTACCTGGGGAATTTACTGGGAAAAACTTAAGTGTAGAAGAGATATAGACTTTTGAGGATTGCATGCATTTGTGGCCTGAGGCCTCAGGCACTTTTGAAAATTTTACCGTTTCATCCAACTGATTTGTAAATTTTAATTAATCCTCACGGACTCCACTGTGAGTTTGGTAGAAAAATATTATCCTGGGAATATATGATAAAATTATACCATGTTGTTATATACTTTTAAATCTTTGTTATGTTAAAAGAGAAAAGTAATGAAAGGAAAATAAAGCCAAATACAGTAAAGTTACTTTTGAGTGGCTCTTCCATTATTGCAGTTTTTCCATTAATCAGACTGTATGAAAATGGTAGGAGATGAACTCAGTACATCGATCAGGTGTACCTGAAATAGCAATTGATTAACTGTGTGTTAATTATACAAGATTACTGTCATGGTAGTTTCATCTTTAAGTTGCTTCATTAAATCATTAATTTTCTAGAAGGTAAGTGAGCCTGACATAATAAAGTTATATTAATCTCTACAGATTTTACCTTTCACAAGATGTCAGGGCACTGAACTAGTTAAGCTAGGACAATCACAACTGTTTTTCTCAATATACAGCATCAAATTATCTTTGAACAAACTGAATGTTATTTTTCTTATGATTCCAAACCATAGCTTTGTCTGTTTTAGAATGCTTTTATTAAATTAATGTTCTCTTCTCACTAACAGTAATATGACCTCTGGTTACATCAGGCTGCTTCAGTCCATCCAGAGGATCATTTACCAGGAAGGATTTGATGGATCCCATCCCCAGGTACTAAGCACTTTCAGTGTCTTCAATAATCATGTAACTAATGTTGTTTTCAAAATTCTCTCTAGGATTGCACTCAGAAGGTCTTGGGATAATTAACAGGGAACAAGCTGTTCCTAAGCATTGCTGAAGTAAACAAGAAAAGTAAATAGAGCATGGCTCCTGTTAAAGTGTATATGGAGTTTTACTCTGTTTTCAACAGAGTAGATGTATGCTGTGCAAATGAAACACTAAACCATACTTATTCTATCCTAGCAGCTAATGAACAATGTTGTAAATATGATGATGTCAATAAAAAAGTGGTTTTCCGTGTAGATTTTTTTTCATGCAACTGTCTTCATAACATATATTTCAGGAATAATTTTTGAAGCTACCGAAAGTTAGCAATAAATTACATATTGGGCACTATGTATTTTGGTGAATTAAATGCCTTGCATTTTAACATAACAAACACTGAAACTGCTTTGATATCTCAGAGCAGCATACTTTCACATATCTTTTAAAATACATATATAAATCACAGTTTGAGTGATATATATCTTTTAAATATAATAATTGCTGGATGAAAATTATTGTTCTTAATCTCAACTCTTTGTCTTATTCAGTAAAGCAAGCAGCTTTCATAGACCTCAGTCACCTAAATAAAATATATGATGTGTAATTGATAGGTAATGTCATTATCATTGTTTTTGTTGTACAATAGCAACTTTGATGTAGAAGTTAATTATTATAGGTTTTGGAGAATGTCAAAGAATATAATGTAACTTGTTGTAGTGGTTGGTAGTTGAATATCTTAGTAAAATTATCTCTGTGAGAGAAGATATTGTTGGATTTTGTTTGGCTGTTTTTCTGTCTAGCAGTGCTTTTTAGGAACATTAACTATGGGAAATATTTTTGTGTTCATTCAGCTTATTTTTGCTCAGTTTTGAGTCTCTGCTGAGATTTATGGGCAAGCATGTCTTCCCTTTGGTGGCAGTGCCAGTCTGGAGAAGTAAATTGGTCCCTGACAGGCACCTCTCCCCACTTGCTGTGGTAACCATGGCAACAGGCATGTCATAACAGTTTCCACAGTACAGTGTGCAGAACTGCTCTTCCAACAGGATGACAGGTCCTCTGGAAGCAAGAAAGCTTACAGAATGCAAAAAGCAACAGCACTAAAGTGAAATGAACACCCTGGGAACCTTCAACCATCAAATACACTGCTATTGGAAGAGACTTCAGTAATGGTGTTTGTTTTTCTTAGGTGCGAATTCAGTATGAAATAGCATGCATGTATATTCCTGAGGTTTTCAAAATTGAATGTAAAATACAAATTGCAAAGTCTAGCACTTTGGTTAGTGTTGCAAAAATGAGTAAAACTGGAAAAGAGCACTTACTTTATTTGGGCCACTATTTCCAGTATTTTTTAATGTTAATAAAACAAAAAAGCACACAAATCAATTCAAAATTTAACATTTGCTACAAGGTAAGTTAACTCAAACCTTAGCTTAATGCCTAAAGCAAGCAAATATGCAGCTTTAAATGTTTGGACTGTTTTGTTTTTAAGCCTGTTATTTCACTTTAGAAAGCCCTTAGATCATGCTAACTGATGGTTTTCTGCTTCAGGAACGATAAAAGTGAATTTGATTTATTGGACCTGGAATATGTTACCTTTTTAGAGTAATATTCTACTTATTTATCAGCTATATTTGCACAGCTGTATTTTAAGATCTTGTTCTTCTTTGGTAAATTCAGCCACCTCTGTAGCTTTGTGCTCCTTTCCCCTTACCGAGCCCTTTGAAAGACATGTGAAGCCAAATGGAAAGAGGATGGACCATGTACAGGGCTGCATGTCTCTCTCCTTTGAACCCAAAAAAGAAAAAATATAGCCCTCCATACACCTTCATTTACTTCTGAGGACTGTTTCTCGCAACAGGGAGCAAACCTTTCCTGTTCAGAGGTACCTCATTAGTGTGAAGCTGGGGACAGGGGAGACATGACAACCAGAAGACAGGAGATTCATAAGTTTTTTGCACCTCTTAACTTTACCTTGCCAGTCACAAGCTGCTGACAGATGTTAAAGGCATGATGGGCTGTGATGTGCAATCCCAACATTCACAGCCCTGTGGCATGATTGTGGGATCAGGGATCAGATCCTAATAGTGCCTTGTTACTGGTGCTGGAGCAAATAAGATTATAAGCTCCCCCTGCACCAGCAAGCTTGGCTTCTGTGTAGTCGCTTGGCTGGGAGCCCTGGAAGCACAGGGGTGTCTCTAATGCGCTTCCACAGGTGGGAGTCCTGATCAGCTGACTTTTTATGGGACTTTTGTCAAAATGGTAAAGAGTCTCTACTTCCTGATGTACTCAACTAGCATTAGCAGCTCATAAAATATTTTTGCCCTCTGTTGGTCGCCATAGGATGCTGATGGTTTCTCTCTAGGATGGAACTTTATAACAACTACTTGTCTTTAATCTAAGCTGACTGTCTTGAAATTCTTCCAGAAGAAAACCTAACTATCCAAGTGGGTCAGGCCAATATGAGTATTTTGCAATTCAGAATGCCTTATTTTACCTTCTTGAAATAATGTAGAACCTAACAGTATAAGAGCATCTAATACTCTATACCTTATCATAATTAAAATGGGCTAGTAGTAATCACTGACTTTTGAGATTTAATAACCAATCTGCTCAACGCTGGTAAGTCTTCAGCTAGAATACTGTGTCCAGTTCTGGACCCTGCATTTTTAAGACAGAAACAGAAAAGGTTCACTGGTAGGTACCAAAGATGATAAAAAGTTGGAATGCAAGCCTTAAAAGGAAAAACTATGTTTGATCTGTAGAAAAGGAAAAGGCAACATCATAGAAGTTTTCAAACACTGGATTTTAAGTAGTCAACAAATATAAAATTTATATTTTAAATAGTCAACTTTTGTTTTCCTTCTTCTCCTCTTGCCTTAAAAGAAGCATAAATATTGCAATTGGTTTATATGTAGAGTCAACCTATAATCATTTCCCTGATAGTTTTCACTTTTCTATTTGCATTATTTTTGTGCATGCAATAAAAATACCAAGTCAGAAATATTTTCAGTGCACTTTTTAGTATTTTGTGTTTTAATCCTTTGGATTAATTAATTCTTTTCTGGGATTTTGTAAAAAATAATAGCTCTTCAAGGTCTTTTATGTATAGTTATCAACTTGCATTCAGAGGAAAAGCTGTACTTCCTAAAATTGAACCTGAAAATAGGGGATCACCTTTTTCAAGCAACAGAATATTTAAGAGGCTACCACAAAAAAGAGGAAGAGCAAGTGATCTACCTGGCCACAAAAGGCAGGACATGAGGCAATGGATTTAAACAAAGCAAAGTAGATTTAGATTAAATCCCCACCCCAGACCTCCTAAGTGTCAGAACAGTGGGACAGTGCAACAAGCTGCCTGGTGAAATTGCAGTTTCCTCCACTGGAAGTTTTCAAGAAGACGATGGATTAGGCATCTGTTTGGAATGACTAGAAATAATACATCCAATGGTAATTGGACTAGATAACTCCTGAGGTGCCTTCAACTCTCTGATTCTAATGATTTGTACATTAAACATAGTTTTAAGTTTAGGGAATTATGCCAATTGATTTTATTTGGTCTTTGACATTTGGCAACAGGACATTCTCAGTTGAATGCTTTGGAATGAACTTTCCATGGCATCCTTTGGAGGCCAAATATACTGAACTTCAGAACAACAATGCAGAGCATATTTGCTCTTCCACTTTGGGCCTACTGTTTTTGTTTTCATTTTTTGTGTGTGTGTTCTCTGTAATTATAGTGCCTAGTTGCCAAAACAATAGTCATTGTAGCAATTAGTAAAATAAGTTAATCTAAATTAGTTTCTTTGAGTAGAAAAGTTCTAATGTTGTGGGAATATATTTTAAATAGTCAATCCTAGCCTTCAGCTCATTAAGCAATGTTAGCCAACTGCTTGCCTTAGAGTACAGCTATGGAATTAATACTTAGGCCACCAACAGACATTCAGTTAAAGGCGCAATCCCAGAAATAGCACTTCCTGCCACATTGCACATGCATGGGAGGAGGCACGGTTGTTGGATCAGGGATCAGACCCCAATTGTGCTGTATTGCTGGCTCCCCTTGCACCAGCAAATAGCAAGAAGTGCACCCATGGGGGCTGGGAGGGCCAGTCATCTGATCAGTGCTCCTAGTCGAAGGAACACATGGGAGCCCTTTGGTCTGGTGCATTCTCAGTCTTGTGCCTGGGAGCACCAGTCAGCTAATTGGCCTCGGGTGTGCACCAGAGGCTTCAAGGCTCCAGTGCACTCCAAAGGCAGGACTGCTGATCAACTGACTGGCACCACCAGGCAGCGTGAGCACACCGGAGTCTTGGAGAGCTCCCGTGCATCAGTGCACTCCCAGCGCACAGATGCTCCCAGCTGTGGGAGTGCATGGGAGTCTTTCAGCGCTCTGATTGCTCCCAAGGCACCAATCAGCTAATCAGCACTGGCCACACATTCAATTTAAGGTAGAACAGGAACCCACAAGAAAGTTACTACACATGTTTTGTATAATAACTTTGTGGTTTATTCCCTGTTTTATTGCTCCATTCATTGTATGAAAGTGTGGCCAAGTTACTACTTAAGACATGTTTTTGTCTTACGTGCAACATCTGCCTGCCTCAGCCTGCTAAAATAGCAAACATCCCCATAGAAATTATGTTCTTTGTTGAAGAAATAAGGGCACTTTCCTCATTTTTGCTATTGTTATTGATATGTGTTTATCTGGGAATGTAAATTTATTACATTGTTCTTTATAAGATGAATTAAGTCTTGAGCCATCATCAGCAGATCAGAAAGCAGTCAGTGTGACCTATAATCTGGTGTTTTTGGTTGTCTTTTGTTACTTATAAAAGTTCAATGCATAATTTCATGTTTATTGGTGAATTAGATATGTAATATTAACCTTGTAACTTAGATAAATTGAACAGCAATTATACTGCATCAGATTGTCCAGGTGGTCTGGACAATGCTGGTTTTTCTAAATGTAGACCCCATTATATTCTCAGATTCTCAACACTGGCCTTTCTAAACCTATCCAAAACGAGCACATCCTAACCCTAAGATCAGTATCACTCAGACAAGATGGTCATTCCCATATTATTTTTCGCATTTTGCTTCTATTTTATCAAAGAATTTGCTTCTATCTTTGCAGTCAGGTAATTTTATCTATAAAACTAGAGAATATAGAAGAATGTAGTGCAGTAGTATGCTGCCTTGTTAAGAAAGTCATTTATTTACAGCTTTTGCTAAAACGATACAGGAGAATTAATAAAATTATATATTGTATAATAATAAAATTACATGTGTGGTTATTGATAACAGCATACAATAGAATTGCCCATTCTACTAATCTAAACAAAAGTAAAATTGAACCTACTATATGTGATCCATAAGAATAAATCAAATAAAACAATATAAAAAATTAAAAAATAGAGGGAATTCTATTTTATTTTGGCCCTTATTTTTTGTGCAAGTAGTGCACATATACCTGTTGAGTATAGGACAGGCTGAAAGTTGTTAAAACAAAACCAAATTGTTTTTCCTTCATTAGCCCAGTAGTTAAAATTTTCCACTACTGAGATTTCTTTCTCATTTCTTCAAAGAACAAACAAGACCACAAATAGTGATTTAGGTAATTTATTTCATTCTTCCCATAAGAATGTATTCTTCTGAATATGGGGACAAACACCATCTTCCTGTGGCAACTGCAGAACTCCAGATGAATTGTGGTCTTATGATGGCCTCTCATTGTTTGTGGTTTTGTACTTCAGATAGATTCGTAGGCCAAAAGAGTGCTTAATTAATTTTTAAAAAGGGGAAGTATGAGAAAATCCTCATGACCTGAATATCTGCCTGCATGCTTGCATCTTTAATTCTTAAATTTCTATTTTGTTTTAAATATGGGGGAAATATTGGGTCAGTAACTGTCAACATATTTTGCAGGCCATGTGTCTAGAGGAGAGTATACATGTTATTTAATCCTACAAATAAGTGTTTGTTTGGAAGAAAAGAGGCTCCTACAATGCACTTCTTATGATATCCGATACAGTTTACAAGCTCTAATTTTTATCCAGTAATTTAGAGATCTTAATTGAGCTAAAGTGCTCATATTAAGCATCCTTATTTCAGATTGTACGAGTCCCTATGTTATAGAGTTTGGTGAGATAAAAACTGCCTTAAAAAGTGATTAGAAAATGTTCTATTGTGAAATGAAGCCTGGATTAAGCACCCCGTAGTTCCTTCCTGTGCAATAACATGTATTCTACCTTGGATCTGTAGACCTTTACTACTGCTGGTACTGCCCTTCACTGGTCTTATTGTAAAAGGATAAAACTCCATCCAAGGTTTTACTTTAATGTTTACATTTTTATATATTTTAGCTCAGCTTTCTATTAAAAGAAATGTTGAGGTATTTAAATGAGGACATCTCTAATTTCTGGTTCTGTAACAATTATACAAATTTCTTTCTTTCATTCCCAAAAACCAATATTTTGGATTTAACAGTGTTGATTTCCAAACTATTTGAGACAGAGTATTGTTGAAAAGCATCAAATAACATTTGGAGGCCTGTCTGGGATTAAGCAACTAATAGCACATCATCTACAAAAATTGAGAGGGATAGAACAATTCAGTATTGTGGGTGCATGGAATTGATTTCCTGTTACAGCGCTACTTTGGAGAATTGTTGAAATGGATTTTTTTGTACAAGTGTAGAGTATCAAAACACTTTGAGACCTGTTACATGGAAAGTACTACACAAGATGAATTGTTATATATTAAAATTAATCTTCAGGAGGATTTTGATAAGTATTCAGGAATAAGATACTGGAAGATGTTACCACCAAAAATATTTTTTTTAATACAAAATAGATGATAATTGGTTAAAAGTGTTTCTAGAGTCTTTAATTGCATGGGTGTAGTACACAGTTGATTAGCTAACACTCTTCTTTCATGATGATTAAAAAGATCATTTCAGTTGGTAGCCTTGTGCCTCAGCAACTCATTTGAACACAAAAAAAATGTGGACTCTATCTCCTGTGTGTAATGTTAGCCTATAAAGGAAATGCCTTCAGTCCCACTTCCTTCTGGAAAAGTTGTATGTACTATTGTTGCAAATAGGAACCAGTTTCCAACCATACAACCCCTCTGGACTGAGAAAATTCAGGCACATGCCTGCAATGGCTCAGCTAGAAGCTGGGGGGCACTAGAGCAGCCCTCTCTTCCCTTGCACAGAGTTGAGCTGATGGGGGGACGTGGCCAGGCCCCGGCAGGACTTTCTCATTAGGGAGGTCTGCCTGCACCATTCCAGTCTTTTCCCTTTTGGCTGCTCAAGGGGTGGGAGAGTTGTCAAGACCCAAGACCCTTGCTAGCACTATGAGGCAAGAGTGGGGGGGGTGTGCAGTGTATGCATCTGTTGATGATACGGAGCCTTCCAATCTCCCTCCCTGCATGTCAGACTGTCTGCAACAAATTGACAGGCAAGCAAGGTAGTTAGGAGCTAATAAGAGTCTTTATCGCCCAATTAGCAAAACAATAGCCTCTTTCCCATTACTTCAAACTCTTCTTAAACAGCTTACCGGGGTGACCTGTTGATTAGCTCCAAAAGTCCTGTTCTGTCTACCTGCTTGTCCCAATGAAATTGGCGACACACACACACAGACACCTCTCAGCATTGGCTAGCACACCACATGCCTAGGGTCCATGGGGCTGGGGTCCATGTTGTGGGAGATGGGAGGGAGGGAGGAAGGGGTGATTTCCTGCTTGAGTAGCAAGGGGGGTATGGCGGGGGAAGCCAGCAGACCCTGCTGTGTCTGCAGTCTCTGCCAGAACCTTATATAGCACTTGCTAGTATACCACGCTTGCTAGTATATCACACACTGGCTATGGTCCGTGCTGTGGGAGAGGGGAGGAAGGGATACCTACTTAAGCAGCAAGTGGTCAGAAGGGAGGGAGAGGGGGGCAGGGAGAAGCCAGAAGACCCTGCTTTGTCTGCAAGTCTGTGCCGGAGGAGCTCTGCCCAGGGAGCAGAGGGGAGGGGCCAGCCCTGCTGTGAAGCAGAGGGTCCCGCCCAGCCCAGAGAGCACGCCTGAATGCTGAGAGAGTCTGCTTCATCTTAAACCAGCAAGGGGTCTGGGACAAACAGTGCTTAAACCAGTTAAGTCTGATACTACATTCAATCAGGTTTATCTCAGACTGGTTTCAGCCATTTTCAAACTGGTTTATGTGCACTGAACATCTGTTCTGTTACAGGTTTAAACCAGTTTCTGATCACTTAAACCAGTTTATGTGTAATGTCTGTCCCTAGCCAAACTGACAGATAGCAAGAAGCAAGCAGTATGCATGCAGCAAAAGAGAAAGTGAAGGAGCGAATGTCTGAGTGTAATGTTTGTATTCTTGCATTCCCAGAAAACCCTCCAAACTGCAAAAGGGAGAAGAATGTTTCTTAACACTTTTTTCCCATTAGGAAAAGCCATGCTATACTTTTTAAGGTTCTCTGTCAGAACATTACCTCATTTTTAACTGATCATTCTCAAAAAAATCAAATTAGGTTTGCTTTTAAGTTCTGTGCCAGCTATTAAACCAGCACTTGATCATCAAACTTGGCATGTTATTCTGTTGATGCAAAAATTGCTGTTAATGTACTACTATTTCTCCAGATCCTCTTATACAGTCATGAGTCAACTTCAAACTAGTTGCTATGGATACTAATACTATATATTACAAGAATTCTGAAGATTGTCTGCCAAAGTGGTGTGGAGTTTTACCATTAATATTGTAAGTAACAGTTAAGTATTTTTTGTTTCTTCTCTTCATTAGAAAAAACAAAAAAATATTCTGCGGATAGGAATTCAGAACCTTGGTTCAGTGTTGTGGGGTGAAGACATTTGTTGCACTGATAATCCAGAAGATATTCATAGCCTCACAAAGTTTCTCTACGTTCTCCGCAGTCTCCTCAGAATGTCTTTGTCAGCCTGCATCATCACAGTGCCAACTCATCTTATCCAGGTCAGAATATTATGGTTGGGTTTTTTTCATAATTAGTTATACATAAAAATGATGCTTGGTGAGTAAAAGGATTGAAGTGTTATGAATGGTTTTGAAAATAGAATCCTGTTGCATTTGTTTTGCTGCAAAAGCAAAATGATTTCTAAATGAAATTCTTACCACACATTTTAGTTTCCTCTGATAGTCACTAAGGTCTATAGTATTATTTAAATGCTGAATTTAACTTTCAGCAGGTGTTAGCAAGTAACAGTAATTCACAAGCTTTTTGAGTACACCAAGAAGGTAAAATCAATTTAAGACCTTCTGGGTTCATCTACACTTACCATTAAGGTGATGTGATAAAATCCAGCACAGTTTGTGCCGGGGTTGATCATGGCACCTTAACGGCATATGTGAGTGCTCAAACTGCTGGGTCCAGGGCGCGCATGCAGATGCTACACCTAAGACCGCAGCGGTTTGAGCGGGTTGGAGCAGCCTTGGTCTAGCCAGGGACCCAGGGGGTCAGCCCCGGGCTCCAGAAGGCAGTGTTGGGTAGCAGAGGGGCTGGCCAGGGCACAAGGGTGCACCAGCATGCAGAGTCCTGTGGTTAGGTAGCAAGCAGGGATCTGGCCCCCTGCTGCCTGTGCTGACCAAACTTAGCATATGCCCGGGTCAGTGTGTATACATGTGTTTAGGCTCCTTTATTTTTGCCACCATAAGATAGTACTGTCCCTGGCAGTCCTATCTTACAGCAGTGAAAATTAGTTTGCTGCGGTCTAATAGTATTGCACGTGTGGACTGTGACACTTTACACTGCACCAAATTAGTCTACTGTTCAGTCAGGTGTATGTGTAAATGCATCCTCTGAAAATTTTTTAGCTTCTTGTGTTTTAAAATTGACTTAAAACATAATTTCATTGCTTTCTTTCAGAGAGGTTGTGTACGAGAAATATGCTTTATTATTTAGAATGCCCTGAATATAAAATTGGCTTGAATCCATGAATGTGTTGTTTATGTGACTTTGATATATATAAACTGAAATTTATAAAGGGATTACTAGTGCCAGGAACTTCCTGCAAAGTCCTATACTCTGAGTGATGTGGGATTACAAAGAACACTGATAAAGAAGTCAAATACAGTGTCTTCCAATACTGGTCATGTCATAATGAAATATACCATGGATTTTTATAAAATATGATATTGGTTACATTTGTAATATGATTGCTATTATGTGCCTGTTAGCCAAAGCAAATTTGAAGCCTCACAACTTCTCTTCATTTATTCAAATTGCATGACCATTGTTGGCTTGAAAATATTATTTAAAGGTTTGCTTTTTCGGGAATTGACTTATAGGTATAGATATATGCATTATAAGAGTTCAAGACGGGCGGCAGGGGTTAATTGATTTATAAGAGCCTGGGTTTCGCACACAGTTCCGTATAGCCCTGGAAGCAGACAGGGTTTCTAGTATAACAATGCCAATGGATAGGCACAGCCTGAGAATTGAGGGGGCATTCCATAACACGAAATCATAGCCTTCAAGGCAGACAAGTTGTCTAACACAACAAGGACACAGTCTAGAAAACAGCCTGGAAATCAAGGAAGTATGTACCATACTGTCCCATAACACAAGATAAGTGACACCAGTTACATGGCCCCAGGGCAGAGTGGGGCCTGAGTCCAGGTTCTAGGGGAACAGACCAAATTAGGAAAAGGCCTGGAAGGCTACATGGATGTGTAACCACAGGGAGACAGCCAACCGGAAATAGCCACAAATGAGTCATCAGGAGTCATCAAGAGGGAAAGAATACAAAAGCAGAGACTTGAGATTAACAAAGGATCCCTCCCTGCCCCTCCTTCTTTTCCTTTCTAACCTTCCCTCACTTCTGTTCTGTCCCTCCTTCTCTTCTGTCCTTCCCTGTCTCACCTGGGTTCCTTCTCCTTCTCATCCCCAAGAGGGGGTCCCCATCCCTGTCCCCTGGGAAGGGCCCCCGAGGCCACCATGGACCAAGGGCATATGACCAACCCATTTTCATACACCCCACTGGAGGGGTGCTGTGGGCCATGGCATCCCACCTCCAGACTACTAACATGCCATGCTGACATCTGACACCTAAGAAAAAGCCTCAGAGTGCAACTTGCTTCCTGACCAGATGTACTTTGACTCTGATGGCAGCCCTAGGATTTGGTAGATATATAGAGTTGCTTGATTGTTTGTATTGTTTCTATTTTTGTTATCACTGTGTATCAATAAATTTGCCTGTTATCAAATGGAGAGGTCGTGGTCGGTCTGAAGGTGGGTTCCCCTCCCCCCCGAACAAGGTATCTGGATCCTAAATCCAGAGCCAACAACGATTGTGGTATTTTGATCCATGCTATCTGAAAACAAAACACTGAACTTTGACTTGAGTTGTGTTTATCTGTCAGGACACTGGAATGTTTACTCAGTATTATTTTGCTTATGTTGCCATTGGGAAAAAAATGAAATCTGTTTTGGCTAGTGCACCATTTGTACAGAAACAAAATGTGTTCCATGGGCTTTTGTTTCTAAATCCAACTCTACCTATTGAGATGCAAAGCAACCTTGTGGAAAAAAATATTAAATCAAGGAAGAGACGAAGCTGGAAACTTGGCCTTCTCTCTTTTACTTTAATAGAAAAACTGAGCTATAATGCATAGGGATTGAATACATATTGAGAGGTGCTTGTGTGTCTCAATTGAAAGGGAAGTATTTCAGCAGTTTCATAACTGTGATTCTTCTTCAGCTGTCTTTTTATGAATCTCACTGAAGGTGTCCATACACTTTTGTGTGTGAGATCTAAGTCTTTTGAGCAGTATTTTCCACTGAGGCTTTGAATGCACCCTGCACTTCATTTTGTTCTCATCCCAGGGCATAAAGAGTGAGGTGGCTACAGCCATCCCTTGATTGCCTCTTGCCACTCATGACACCAACATGGCAAACTTTAATTTGCTACTCTTTGGCATTTGCCAATTCTTCTACTTGCCTGCCATTTTCATGTTAGGGAATTCCTACTTAATTTGTCAAATATAGAAAGGGAAGGGAGTTTGGGAAGAGGATGCTCATATAAGAATGATAAGACTTTCATCATCCCCACAGATGACCACAGTGATACCAATTTGGTCTGGGCAAAAGCCCCATTTTAAATATCAGTGCATGGTATGCTATTCTGTCTCACTGTAGGTGCACAAATCATGAAATGTCTGTCTTAAGCACAACTTGTTAGAGCAAGCAATGAAAGTCAACTTTAAGCCAAACATAACCGGTACCAGAAACAGTCTCAATGAAATCTGTATCCGAGTAACCTTCAAAATAAGGCACGTGACATCAGAAACCAGCAATGACAAATTTTTGGTGTTGAAGAAAAATCTGGCATCAGGAACCCCAAAGTCAGTGTCCCCAGTGTCAAAAGCTCATGCTACCAAAATAAGTTCTGAGCACAGAAGCCATTACTTCTAGCTCAGTATCAATCCACAGAGAAAGGGCAAAAGATAACTATGAGGATAAATCTTAAGGATCTCTTATAAAGATTCACATGAGAAGTACTGTGCTGCAGTTGTGATAACAGTGACACATTCTTTAATGACAGTGGCCATGCAGGCATCCACATTTAGCCAGTCTGTTCCTTACTGTACTGATGGATATTATGCTAAAGGAGTTCACTTTGTACCTGGAGATTATTTCCGTACTGGGATAACTGCTAGTTCTGGAGCAGGAAGTATTATTGTATGCCTTAGCACTGCATCAAAAAATGTATTTCTCATCCTCATTCCCTGGCTCTATTTTTTCACTATACTCAATTAAGTAACTGCATCTCTTGTGGTCAGTAGAAGACGGTAGCAATTAGAAATCTGTTCTTTCAGGGCTTTTCACTGAATAACCATGGGTTGGCTAAAACAATGAGTTAGCTATATCCTTTGAGGCCATAGGGGACCACACACACATGCTATCGTTCTGTCTCCTCAGACTGAAGACTGGACTGTGACTAACCATATGGGATACCTATGCTCATGTTGCTCCCAGTGAGGCAGAAGCTTCTTGCCACCCTGCACTTATTCACTTTTTTCCATCCTTTTTTCCAACGGCTATATAATGGCTCAGCTTCAAAAGGAGCTTCAGAAAAGGGCTGGGTAGTGGCTGACCTGTGGCATAGTGGTTAGAGTGCTATGCTGAGAAGCCAGGGACACCTAAGTTCACATCCCCTCTGAGTGAATGTGGCTGAGGACCTCTAGCTTTCCAGATGAGTGTCCTGGCCACTGTGCCTTGGGGTAAAAGAAAGATGCGTTTCCATGATTCTACTTGCCAAAATTAAGCTCTGGTCCTTACAATCCTGGCTAAGGTCAGTCTGTTGCCTGGTGAGATGCAAGATAAATAAATGGGTTATGGTCCCATCTCATGTATCAGACCTCAGGTTAATCAAATTAGATATAAGGTATTCCAGTTGCTTTTATGAACTCCACAATGCAGATCCTAAAAAAATAATACACCTGCAATGTACTACATAAACAAAAGGGCTTATCACCCTTGTCACAGGTATGGACATGATGTCAGTAATATAGAAATAATCATGATGGGCTAAAAATGTGACAAAGTTCTGGGTCTGTGAAGGGATCCCACATCCCAAAAATCATATGTCCTGCCATGCAAAATCTTGAATATCTGGCTTGTCATCATGCACAGTTTTTAGGATCTGGGATAAAATTCCTCAGATCCCATTTTACGTTTGAATTAACATCTGTGAGGGGCCTAACACCCACTTCTATTCAAGATTCTTACAGACCTATTACATAATTACCCACTGAACAGTGTTGACAGGGACATATCAAGACTATTTTTCTTTTAAATTTGACAAGGATTCAAAGACAGATCAGTGATGATGATTTATACAGGGTAGTAAGGACTATGACTTGCAGGAGTGGGTCTTTTAATGTTTATTATTTTCTGCTTTCTCTTTACATATGATATAGTACCTGTGGCAGGAAGCCACCTTTGTTTCTCCCCA